TGCTGCTGGCCGTTTCGTGGTGGCCTGGCGGCGGCGCGGGAAGGAGAGAGGGAGGATGCGGCGCAGGTCTCGGCTGCTGCTCTGCTTCGCCTTCCTCTGGGTGCTGGGCATCGCCTACTACATGTACTCGGGCGGTAGCGCCGCGCTGGCCGGCGGCGGCGGCGGCGGGAGGAAGGTGAGAGCCCAGCCCGGAGCCCGCCGCGGGGCGGGAGGCGGGAGGGAGAAGGTGCGCCCGTTCCGCGTCCCGGCTCGGCTCGGGCCGGGCTGGGGGCGGCGCTGCCCGGTCCTCAGGGCTGGGGTGTGGTGGGGGTGACTCTCCTCAGCCCCGCGGGGCGGGAAGGCGATCGCTTTCGGGCGGGGTGGAATTCCCCCCGGGCTTCCCCCCCCACACTCGTCCGTCCGTCCTTCCTCCCGCCCTCCCTTCCCCAGCCCGTTTCCCGGAGGCAGACGGCTTCTTTGTGGACTTCAGCCGGTTTTTAGCCTCGTCACGTCGCTCCCTATCCAACTGCGGCCGGCCACGTCCCGGGCCGGGGGAAGTTGGTGTGGGAGGGGAGAGCGGGGCGGGGGGGGAGCCCGCCCGGGCTCCGCTCCCCTCCCGGCAGGCAACGTCTGGCCCTTCCTTCCTTCCCCCGCCGGCACCGGAGCCGTTCGGGCTCGCCTTCCCACCCAGAGAACCAGCGCCGGGATCCGAGCCGCAAATGCCTTTCCCCCCCCCTTCCCTGTTCCCTCTCGGATGCGCAGCGATTTCTTTTTCTCCTTAGCGCTACGCCTGAAATACGCTGGGTTTCTCTTCTGATCGCTTTTGCGATATTTCAGGAAATAGCTGGATTTGTCACCGCTCGTGTCTGTGGTGTGGAAAGTCCGTCTCTTCCTTTTTTTTCAGCGGCTCCGTCGCTAATGTTCAGAAGTTGTCTCTTGACAGTAGAGGAGTGATTTTTCATTATTCTGTCCGTCAGCTTATGAAGTAAAATTTCCAACGTGTTGTAGCAATTCCTCGGTCAGGAAAATAACTGGAAGTTAAGTACGTCAGAGTTCACGTTTGTGTCAAGCAAAACAGGCTTTTGTGGCACGATGTGGGAAGTGGCAACTTTATCCACTAACTCTGTTTAGAAAAATTAATTATGAGTAAGTGCCTTTTGGGGCGGGGGGGGGGGGTTTTTTTCCCCCAAAGAATAGCAAAGCCAAGAGCTTTTAGAAACTGTTGTTTAAGCCTTATGCTTTGGAATAGGAAAGGTGAAAAAGCATCTCATAATTGCATCGTTTTTCAAAACAACCCAAACAAACCCAGAAACGGGAAGATGGCAAGTGAGCGAAGCACACCGCAGTGAAGTAGTGTTATTTGATAATAAATGGCAGTCTCCTGTTAAATGAAAAGTAGTGTTTCTTAAGTCTAGCAGTGTATAAGAAGAGGAATCTCTTTACGTTGCTTTGATGCAGTTTGGTTCATCAATGCATGTATTCCTGGTAAAAATCTGCTGATGACTGATTCCCGTGGCAGGTCGTGGAAGCAAATACTTCCACGATTACTTACATGAGCAAGGGTCTAGAGAATGAGTTGCTGCTCATTGATAGTTGGCTCTCTGTTCTGATTTGTCCTGTTTTATTTTCTCCCTGTAGCTTAGGAATGTGTTCAACAGCAACTTTTGGTGTAATATATTAAAGTAAGTGTGAAGTGCGTATTGCTAAATACATGCTCCTGGTCCTTCAAGTAGATACAGTAGCAGAAATAGATCAAGCATGTGATAAAAAGTAAGGCAGTAGCCTAAAGCCATTCTTGAAGAACCACTAGAGTGTATTTAGAAAGTAAAAGCAATCTTACGCTGCTGCTGATGTATAATGGGATAAAGAAAAGCTATCAAGGCAGATATATCTGCAGATAGGGAAATATATTTTTAACTCTTATGGTGTGTTTCATTTGGAGTTTCCAGACAGATCTGCAACTCTGTTCAATTCATTTTTACTGCTGGGGAAACTGCAGTGTAGGGATAGTGATTTGCCCAAGGTCACCTAGAAGACTAGGTAAGAATAAAATAGAAAAGAAACCAGTTTTTCTGAGTACAAGTCTGGTACTTAATCTACTAGAACCTGCTGCTGTTTATTATTGATATTGGTAGGAGTTTTTATTATGGCTTTAAAAGATCTATGATCCTGATACTTGCTTCGGTAGTATTATTTGTTATCATTCTGCACAAAATTTAGTAAACCTTACTGGTCTGGATAATTGGGAGAGTTCAGTAAAGATAATTTAAAGAAAATGAGACATTTCATAGGCCTGCGCTGAAGCTCAGGGCTAGTTTTAAAAATGTGAATGTTTAAAAAGTAGGGCCATGATAAGGAAGAAAGTAGGTACTGTGACCACAAGAAACAAGTGGGGAAATTAACAATTATGTGTGGATTGGTGATTTAGGATTCTATTTTCTGTCAGTGAAGCGTAAAATTTAATCCTAGGCCTCGGCGTAGGTTAGCAAATGTAAGTAGAGGAAGATGTGTGTAACGTAATAGCTTTTGAATCTCAATAAAAGGCTTATTAACTTGGTGTCAGGCCCTGATATAAAGCAAAAACACAAACTGTCTTAAACTTATGAACAGAAACCCTGCTGTAGTAAATTTCTTGGTGTGTATGACTTCATGTAGTCCTTATTACTTGCCCACTATTTCAATATAATGGAAACAGAGTTGCATACAGAAGAACATCACTTTTAATAAATTGAAGTCTCTGCCGTGTTCAGTCTATAAAATTATAAAAGCCGGGAGGGGATAGTTCTTCATTTGTGTGAGTAATTTGCATGTTAATTACAGATCTGGTTATATAAACAGAATGGTTTTTTTCCAGAAGGATGATTTTTTTTTTTCCATACACAGACCTAGTGTGTTATCCAGACATACTGGACTTGTTTGGTACAGCAGCCAGTCTCGTGATGTGATGAACACCACCTATTCCCTCTCTCTTCAGTAGTTGAAGGTGTTTGCCCTTTGCCAGGATTGCACTGGAGTAAGAGAAAAGAGTGATTTCTTTTTTCTTTTTTCTTTTTCTTTTTCTTTTTCTTTTTCTTTTTCTTTTTCTTTTTCTTTTTCTTTTTCTTTTTCTTTTTCTTGTAGTGTCAGAGTTAATGTGAGTGTCTATTTATTTTGCTTCTCTGTTTACAACCTTTCTAATGAGATCTATGAAGCTATTTGGATGTTGCAGTGTGCGGTACAGCCCTGCCTAAGTTTTTGGCCCCTGGCAACAGTGGTAGAATCCACAGCCCTCTGTGCAGTGCTCTGGCCTGGTAGGAGCTGAGCAGGCACAAAAGGGTCTAAGGCACACAAAGTAGTAGCTGTCTCCTGGGTAAATCTGCAAATGATAATAACAAAAAAAAAAAAGTGCAATGCTTCTCATTCTGGACCTAGGCATAAAAACTGTAGCAGAAAGAAATGACATCTTCCCTGTCTGGAATTTAGGGTGTGACAACATTTTTCTTTTTTCTTTTTTTTTTTTTTTCTTGGAAAGAAGAAAAGGGTAGAGTCAAAGTCTTTCATTCAAAATGTGTGAGGTGGGGTTTTTTTGTGTTTTTTTTTTTTCTTCTCCCCTTCAGTGAATCTCCAATTAAAATGACTATAAGCATGAGAGAACCATGGGTTCAGTTTACTTCTTTTCCAGCTAGATCACTGGGTTGGAGATTGGAAAGAGTGAGTCTGATTCACTTGTTTAAAGGCTAGAGAAACCGTTCCCAAAACAGAGGCTGTGACACAGAAGAAAGCAAGTTGCAAGCCCAACAGTTGTGAGATGCAGAAAAATGTGGGCTACTTTTGTGTTCACTTAATGTGTTTTATATTAAAAAGCCTTTGGAGTGGAGACTGGAACTTCCCTTCTTCTTGTGGATGAATTTCCTAACTCGTAGCAAAAGCGATTCATGCTCTGTGTCTCAGACTTGCACAAAATGGAGCAGCTTCTGCAAGATGCTTAGAAAGCTACTCATACCCTCCTAAGCCAAAGTCATCCTGATGATGTGATCCCCTCCTAAGACTGGTGTGAATTTGAATCTGTGTATTTGTCACACAGGTTTTGAGTTCTTTAAGCACTAAGCTCTTGCACAATAGAGTGGCTGGATTGAAAACAAAACAAAACAAAAAAAATCAGCCAAAACCCCCAGCTGTTTTCTAAATAACTTACTCTTCTAGGCATTAAGACAGTAGCCCCGTGTAATTGAGCCCTTCAGGCAGGACAGAGGAATGTCTGCATCTTGTTGAAAGCACTAAATGCTTCACTGCTGCCAAGAGTGAAATCCTCCTGAAGGAGACCTATAGGCAGAAAGGGAATTTACTGTTGAAAGCTAAGGCATCAAGAGTGGCCTGCTAGGTTAAGCTGCTGCTGAGCCAAGGTTTGGAGCCTTCTGGATTTAGGTGCCGGAGTGCTGACAAGCTTTTGCTTTTGTTGCCATGTAAAGAATGTCAATTGTTTTTAAGTTGGACCTCTGTCCCCTCGCACCCTGTCTTTGCTATCTAGAGGAGGAGGCTAAAAGCAGTCTTTCAGTAATGACTGATGGATAACTTTTGCTAGTGCTTCTTAGAATTAGAATAATCTTTCTTTTTCATCAACTTCCCCGCAAAACCCCCCCCCCCAAAACCCCCAAAACAAAACCCAAAACAACCCCCCCAAAACCAACCAAAAACCCAAACCCCAACAAAACCAAACCCCCAAACCACCTTGAACTAGAAGCTTGTTACTCTCTTGGCTCACCAGATTTACTGGGTGTGATGGAAGGAATTGGAGAAATCTAATTTATGGTTAGTTGAGCCACAAGGAGGCAGGCTTCTCCTGTAGAATGGGTTATTACCCTGTACATTGTGCTTGTTTTCCTTTCCGTGTTCTGGTTTGGTTGGTTTGTTTGTTTGTTTTACTTTGGAGCAGGCTTTTGATAGGTGGCTGTACCATGGAGCTAGCTGAGATGAAATAAATCCAAAGGTAAAAAGTGATGCTTTGCCTTGAGTGCGTGACTGATTAAAAGTGACTCAATCGCTTTGGGGAAAGCAGGGGAAAAAGAAGCAAGCTCTGTAAGTTCTTGTTCTACAAGGATAAAACTTTAGAATAACTCCTTTCAGCATACGCAAAGGTTTCTTTTCCTCTTTCTTTTCTCCTTTTTTGGAAACCCTGAACTATTTCAGTTACTGTTAAATGAGGCTCTTACTGCCATT